ATGTTATTTTGGGACTGAGTTGAAACCATTCAGTAATCCGCTTTGCCTATTTGTATTTTTCTTATTCTTGTCATTATGGGCAGGATCCTTGATTATAAGGAAGACTTGTTAAAATCAGTGCCATGTTGTATGCCGACAAAAAGAATTTGGTTTGGGACCATTTGCGCTTTCAAATTTCAGCAAGATAGATAAAAGGACCGGAAAAGCTGAAAGGCATGAAAGGCATTCTGGGATTTTAATGAAATCCGGGATTACATGCGCTCAAAGCGTGCCATTATTTTTTGCCATTTTTAAGATGGATTATTATTATTTTTTGAGTTTTCAAATTTTTCTCCTAATTTTGATGAAATTTCAGCTTTAAAAAATGCATTTGTTCTGTGCAGTTGGATACAACAGTAATATGTGCATCCAAGGCAATTTTAGCATTCTTCCTGAAACTGCAATAGTCTGGCTGCTCGTTATTTAGGACTTGCTATGAGTGTTCTAAACTCACTGCACTTCATTAGTACATTCCTCGCTGTCATTCCACTGTTTCGCCCAGTAACACCAATATTTTTCCCGGGCAGTGTGAGTCAAATTTTTTTTTTTGTATATTTGGCGATACTTGAAAAGTCAATTCAGTGTTACAGCAATTAGATATCTGTGATTAAATACCTAATTAAGAACGATATGCCACAAAATCATGCACTATTTACTTTTATTTAACAGTAAATTTTTTTGGGAAGTAGCATTGCTGCCGCAAGAGGAGAATTAACTCCGTCGGTGAGACAACTAATTCCTCTACAATTTTTACGTTTTTTTTTTTTTGGTAAAACTGGTACTAACATATACCACGGAGTCAACTCGGCTGCCAACATTCTCGTAGGAGGGAGCCATCGACAACTTTATCGCAAAAAAAAGCTTTTTTTTTGACAATTTGGTATCCGATAACATCATTAACATCGAGGCCTGTACTGATAACTTGAGCGCTTTTGGTATCCTGATATGTCGTATGACAAGAGATTTTGGCTATGTTTATGAGGTGGTCTTTTGGGAACCGAATTAGTTTTATCTCTCAGTACAATCTCGGAACAGAGAAAGCATTGATAGGAGCACAAAAGTAGATACGCAGAATATTTCATCTAGGTGTTTTTCAAACCTAGAAATAATGTCACAATGAGTGCTATTCAGATTTTTTTCCGCTCAGATTCTGTTGCAGATCTCAATAGCAAAATCAGATAAAGAAATCGAATACAGCACAACTCTGCAACGGTTCGCATTTCGCCTAATTTTCTTCGCTTTATAATTTTCATCACTTTATAAAGTTTCTTCGGGATTCCAAAGGAAAAAATCAAAAAAGAAATTTGTTTTTCTCCAAAAAATTTCAGTTTCTGTCTTTAACTTCATGTATTTCCAGCCTTTATTTCTCAGTTAATAATTTTTCTATCATAACTTACTGACAAGGCCCAGTTGTGACGTTGAATCAAGATATATGCAACTTGATGAGTTGAAGTGTCTTAATCTTAGCCTACTGTTAATTCTCGTTTTTTTATCTTTACTATTTTCATGTATACTTTGTGGATTAATTGATTTCTACTCGTTTAAATAGTGTTCATAATTCCTTTTGAACTAAACAAGTAACGTGGCGCAAATATCCAATATTTATAAATTACCATGCTCGATAATTTTTTTTCGGTCATTAAATCATTTATGTTTTGAGCATTTTCTTTTTTTTGCATTTTTTTTTTGCTTTTTTTTTAAAAGAAGAAGCCATCGACAGCGGAAAATCACCAGTAGCAAAGTGTTGCCACTCGAATTACTTCCAAGCACCCCTCATCTCTCATATGGAGTAGAATAATGAGGGAAAGTTTGGGTGTCAGCTTTTGATTTTAGCTTAAGTCAAAGGCCATCTAGTGGTTACCTCCAGGATAAACTCTTTTGCAAGAGGCATTTTTTCCCACAAAAAAAAAAAGAATTTTGCAGAGGGCAATCTTCAACAATGCGAAAGCAC